AATGCTCTGTCCTGCACCTCTTCTCTTCTGTCTCTGCACTATTTCACTGGGTGATCTCATCAGCTTCCATAGATTCAACTATCATCTTTATGCTGATGATTCTCATATCTACATATCCAACCCTAACCTCTAGTCTCCCATCTCCAGCTGCACACTGGACATCTCCAGCTCAATGTCCCATAGACATCTTAAACTCAACCAGTCCAAAATGGAACCAATGCTTTCCTTCAAAGTCTTTGTCTCTTCCTAACTTTCTTATTAATTTAAATAGTATCACCATCCTTTCAGTCACCCAGGCTTATGAGCTAAAGGTCATCCTTGACTCCTTACTCCCTTTCAACCTGATGATGATGGTGATGATGATGATGATGATGATGGTGATGATAGAATGGTAATATGACCTCTGAGGGCTCTTTCAGGTCAAGATATATGGTCCTATGAACTTAACTGGGCAGCTAGTTGGCATAGTGAATAGAGTGCCAACCCTGGAGTCAGGAGGACCTGAGTTCAAATCTGGACTCAGACACTTATTATCTGTGTGACCCTGGGCAAGTAAATCACTTAACCTTGCTTGCCTCAATTTCCTCATTTGTAAAATGACCTGGAAAAGAAAATGACAAACCAATCCAGTGCTTTTTGCCAAGAAAACCCCAAATAGGGTTACAGAGAGTTGGATATGACTGAAACAACTCAACAACAACAACATGAACTTAACCTCTCTATGCCTCAGTTTACTCATCTGTAAAACAAGATAATTAGATTTGAGTTCCTTTCCAGTTCTAGATCTATGATCCGATGAGAAAAGTAGTATGTATCAAAATTGAGCACACAATAAAAAAGTTAATTATAAAATTTAAAAATAGAAAAACCATGTAATGGGAAGATCTCTGGCTTTGGAGTCAAAGGACCGGGTTCTAATCCCTGCATCATCATTACTTAGCTTTGTGACTTAGGTTATTAGTCAAGTCTGGGCCTTAGTTTCCCCCTCTGTAAAATAAGGGAGTTGGGCAAAGTGAACTTTAATGTCCTTTCCAACTTTATATTTGATGAGTCAGGAATTATAGGTCCTGGGGGAAATGTCTTAGTCTCACCATAACTCTATTTCTGTAAAATGGTGATAAGTTTTATACTTTCCCTTCCTAGGAATATAATAAAAAGAAATGTGATGATAAATATTGTGTTTTGTGCTCTTGGGAGGGATGGCACCAAAACATCTCCGGACGTTCAATGAGGGATATACTCACTGCTAAGAAGGCAGGGCTGATGGCTACCCAGCATATCTTCCAAAACAGGCCTGGGCTGAAGCCAAGCATGACCTTCACATCATGACAGAACTGCTGAATCCCTGAGCAGAGAAAACAGTACGTGTCAGCTCCCTTCCTCACTGACCTCAATCTCAGCAGTGGAAGATATTGGAGAAAGGAAGAAGGCTTCCCCTTAACTATTTGCCAAACCCTGAGTAAGTAGCTGGAGCACTTTATCCTTGTCCCTCCAAACCCCACCCCCCTCACCAAAACCCTTGTTCATGCTGCCTAATGTAGCTCTTCTATCAGAGAAATTCTCTCTCTTTTCTCATATAGTGAGCCCCTTGAAAGCAAGGACTTTCTTGCTTTTTCTATTTGTATTCTCAGCACTTAGCGAAGTGATTGGTAAGTTCTTAATAATGCCTTTTTGTTCATTCACTTATTCATCTGTCTATCAGTTCATTCATTCAGAGGTTAAAGGCAATGGACAGGGTTATTCATCTATCTATCAGTTCATTCATTCGGAGGTTAAAGGCAATGGACAGGGTTAGAGATATGGCATGATAGCAATGGGAAAAATCTCTGTTCCTTAGCTTGCAACATCAGGCTTGGCAGCATCCTGATTTCAGAAGGTTGAAGACATCTACATGGGCCATGGAAGCAGATGAACTAAAGGCATAGATGGGTGGAGAAGGAGCTTAGGGTGACTAGTACATACTAGCCTATCTGGGGAGAGCAGAAGCAAACTTCAAGATGTTATGGCTATTGTGAGTTAGCTAGTATGGCTGTTATATGGCCTTGTTCTCATGTTATATGGAGCTGAGAGTTTTATGAAGGAAATGAACTTCCTGGTTATCTTGTTCTGTCTTACAGCTCAGGAGACTGAAGGAAAGGATGTAAATGGACTCCAACCTAGGAGTGGGGTTTGCCATGAGGTTGAAACTAGGAAATGTTTGTAAAGTCCAGTGTTCTATGACATAGATGTCTATTGACTGTTGTTATAATTAAATTCTTCTAATTCAATTCTTGTTTAATCAAGACCTGGAAGTGAGTGGCCTAAACAACACTGGATCTGGAAAGAATGGAAGTGATTGGTATTGGGGGTATCACAAGTGATAACTTAAGATTTTCTCGAACAAAAATAATCTGAAGTATAATAGTAAGGAGTGGAGTGCTGACTGATAAACAGGTGCCTGTGCCATGGTTCTGACTGCTGATAGAGTTAATCTGTTATACAAAGGCATGACAGGCATAAGGAGAGAGTCTCTCTTCCCTTTCCCAATCCCCAAAGGGTCTTTTTTGTATTTTTGGCTTTTTTTGTACCATAAAACCAAGAAACAGTAATCGCCTCCAAGAACACCACAGCCAGAATGGAGCAGTTAGCACCAAATTCTTCCAGAAGCTTGATCACATACGCACCTCCCTAGAACAACAAAAGAAGGCCACCTTCAGGGCTGTCTGAAGCATCCTACTCCAAAGGAAGCCTACAAAAGGCAGAGGAGGTAGTGGAGTTCCAAGGAAAGAGCCCTGAACAGGCAACCAGAAGACACCTCCACTGGCTTACTAGGTAACCATGAGACTCTTTAAAGTTTTTCATTTTCTGAGCCCCAATTTCCCCATATTTAAAATGAGGAGGTACTCTGATACAGTGGAAAGAATGCTGGATTTTGAGTCACAGGTTATGAGTCTGAATCCCAGCTTGGCCACTTCCAAGCTGTGGGACTTTAGACAAGACAGCTAGCCTCTCTGGGTCTCGGTTCCTTTGCTGTAAAATAAGAGGGTTGGATCACATGATCTCTCAGGCCCCTCCCAACTCTGAATTTATTCTCCTTTGGTCCTAGATCCCTTGGTTGTATGTGTTGAAGATGTATGGAATCTTTCTAAAGGTGTAGAATGATTTGTAGAAAGTTCACTGGAGATGTTCTCATTATCATCATCTCTGCCATCAACTTCTGCTGAATTTACCTGGTTCCAGTTGCCTCAGTTTTCACTAGTGCTTCTGCAGGGATGGAATGGATGGGCAGTGGTTAGACTGGGCTCCTTCGATAGAGAGTAACAGCTTGAATAATGATGATTCTGCAAAGTGTAGCCAGAGCAGTAACTAGCCATTTTTATGCTCAGGGCAAGCAGTAGAAACACTTCCTTGGTTCATTTGCAGGGTGTGTGTGTGTGTGTGTGTGTGTGTGGAGGGGTGGACATTGGAAGCAACACAAAGTCACTGTTGCAGAGGTTGCTGGGAAAGAATGAGAATAGGTTGGGTCCAAAAGGGGAGGAGTTCCCCTGGGGAGTGGCCACCAGGGGGAGGTAACTGTTGGTGATAACTTTCTTTTTTATTTTCTATCATTCTTACTAACTAGGTGCTGAGCTTAATTGTTTCACTGTGGCTGTAGGACTGAATGTCCTTCTAGATTCCAGTGCCCTGGGACAAAGCCCAAGCCACCTTGTCCTGGTTATAGCTCTGAGTGTAGCTCCTAATGACAAAGAAATTCTACAAACCCCTGTTTATCCTTATGTCTCCTACTCACGACTGGTATATGTGGTCCAGTGGATAGAGCACTAGGTCTGGAGTCAGGAAGACCTGAGTTTAAATCCAGTCTCAGACCCTTACTAACTGTGTGACGTTGGGCAAGTCCCTTAACCTGTCTTCCTTAGTTTCCTCATCTGTAAAATGGGGGGCAAAAAAGCAACTACTTCCCAAGGTTGTGGTAAGGATCAAATGAGATCATATTTGGAAAGCACTATGCAAACCTTAAAGTGTGATATAAATTGCTAGCTAGTCTTCTCCTCTGTATTTTGTTTTTCTCCCTTTTCATCATCATCATAATCTCCCCTTCTCCCTCTTCTTCCTCCTCCTCTTCTTTCTTTCTTCTTTTTCCTCTTCTGTATCTTCCTCTCCTTCTGATTTCTTTTCCCTTTTTTCCTCCTCCTCCTCCTCCTTTTTCTTCTTCTTCTCCTTCTTCTCCTTCTCCTTCTTCTTCTTCTTCCATTGACTCTTCCATTGAAGTGTGCTATTTTTTCGTAGGTCATGTCTCACTGGCAATTATAGAATGCTTTGATATTTGTACGTCTCATCCACTCTCTCATTTGTGCCTCAAAAAAGCCCTCTGAGGTAAGTCCTATAGGCAAATTAGTCACATATTATAGATGGAGAAACTGAGGCCCAGAGAGATTAATTGACTTGTTCAGAACCAACCAGCTCATAAGTGTGAGATGCAGGATTTGACACCGGTCTTACTGATTCCAAGCCTAGCACTCAGGGTAGTCCATTAGACTGCCCTGCATACTCATGGAAGGATGGGGCTCATCTTATGCTAAGGGAAGAAACAGAAGCCCTGGTTTGGCCTGAGCATCCTCAAGCTTGTGGGAACTCTGTTTTTTCTCTGCCGTAGTGCCCAGGTGTATCACTCACCCAACTCTTGCCATACTCACTTGGGTCAGCGTGGCAAGTGAGCCCAGAAAGCAGACAGCCACCAGGCCCAGGACCAAGAGTTCCCTCCTTTGGGTGAGGGTCTGTGGATATTCATCTATCAAAGCTGTGATGATGGCCTCCAGGCCCCCAAACTGCAGAGAGAGCCACAGCAGAGCAAGTTGATGTGGGACCAAATATCAACCAAAGCTTGAATTCCCACCCCTCCCTGTGCCTGATGTGATGCTTCTGTCCCTCTCCTGAGGAATTCATGAGCTGTTGATCTACACCAGTGCAAGTAGTTTCCCCATTAGGAGTTCCCTGTACTCCCCAAGGACTCCCCAAAATGAGAAAAGTCTACTTCTCTGACTGACTAAATTCTGGCCCCATATATAGTGGAGCCATGAAGTATTTAACTCAAAAAAACCCCCCAACTATTTAACCCTCAACAAACTGATTGACTGATTTCCATCAAATGGGTGTTTACACTTATAAGATTCAACTAAGTAGGTAATGTGTGTATATATATCTATGTATCTATCTATATGTGTATATATATGTATATGTGTATATATGTATGTATATATGTACATGTGTATGTGTATATGTGTGTATATATATATATATATATACATATACGTATATGGAGAGAGAGAGAGGGAGACCTGGTGACCCAAAGGGTCTCCTGTTATATGGAGGAGGTGAATAGGACCAGTGCCAATGATGACTCATATACAAGATGTGACTTAAGCTCTATCATCCAGAAAGTGATTGGAAAAGGTCAATTATGCAGGGACAGTAAAAGATGACAGATGGACAGCACAAGGGCTCAACTGGAAACTACAATACTAATGTGAGGTCAGGGTAAGTACAATAATTGTTGTTCAGTTGTTTCAGTTGCGTCCAACTCCCCATGACCCCATTTGGGGTTTTCTTGGCAGAGATACTGAAGTGTTTCACCATTTCCTTCTCCTGCTCATTTTACAGATGAGAAAACTGAGGTAAACAGCGTTAAGTAACTTGCCCAGGGTCACTCATCTAGTAAATGTTTGAGGTCAAATTTGAACTCAGGTCTTCCTGACTCCAAGCCTGGCACTCTATCCACTACACCACCGAGTTTACCTATTTTTCCTTGAAAATGGAGGAATGCATGAGATGCCCTTTCAAGGTTCTATCCTCCCATCCCAAAGCCAGGCAAAGTTACTCACAGTGCTGTCTAATCCCAAGGTGATCATCATGAGGAAAAACACAATGGAGAAGAATGTGGATCCCACCATATTGGCAGTGGCTTCGGGGTAAGTGATGAAGAGGAGGCTGGGACCTGATAAAGAGTAGGAGAAGAGTAATTTTTTCCTTTATTATTTTTCCAAGTAGAGTCCAGTGCCTTCTGGAACTATTTCTAGAGGAAAAAAATTCTCCTTCAGTGGGTGATGAGAAAAGCTTCAGGATGCAACTCCAGGGGCCACTTCTGGTACACATACCTTAGGGGGGAATCAGACCTGGATATGAGTCAATTTGTTTCTTTATTGTCCTACCATGCCCACCAAGAAATCCCATTATTAGTAGTATTTTTTTCTAGCGCTTTGTAGTTTTTTCCAGAACATTTTCATGAATGCAATTTCCCCTGATTCTTCCTCTAGCCTTCTGAGACAGAATGAACAAGTATTGTTATTGATGTTTTTTGGATATGAAAAATTGAGACACAGAGAGGATCTTAGGACCCAGAGCTGGGGAACTCAGAAGCCATATGGTCTGACCCTCTCATTTTACAGATAAGGAAACTGAGCCATAGAAGGGTTAAGTTACCTGTCTAGGGTTACATAGCTAGTGTTTGAAGTGGGATTCAGACTCAGATCCCCCTGACTCCATATCCAGTATCTTTACCACTATACCAGCCTTGATATATTGGATAGAAGTCTGACACCTGAGTTTATGTCTTGATTCTGACAGTATTAGCTGTGTGACTCTGGGTGAGTCACTTAATTTCTCAGTGTTCCAGGCAACTCTCCAAGACTATAAATTCTTGATCTACTTTGCTGGAGGGAGTTTCTACAGGAGGAATCCTCTTGAAAAGTCATGGTCACAAAAAACCAAACATACTCCCAAACCCTAATCTAGTGAACAAATATGTAAATTTTTTTTTAGTGAGACAGTAGGGGTTAAGCGACTTGCCCAGAGATGCACAGGTAGGAAGTGTTATGTAATAAAGTTTTAATGGGTTGACCTGTTACTTTTAACAAGTAATCTATTTACACAATATCTGAGGTCTTTATCTGAAGGGGTGACTCCAAGTGAAAATTTCAGGTCCCTGTGGCAGGGATCTGGGAGACATAGTTCAGGAGTAGGGGGCCTTTCAGTGCCCCTCAAACCATACCATATAAGCAACTTGCTTTGCCAAGTGCACCTAAGAATGGTGCACCAGTGAAAAATAATCCTAATTCATAGCTATGTAAGATTTACAATGACTTGGTGAAGGAGGTGGTCACAAGGATTATTCTGATTTACTGATGAGAAAAATCAGGGCTAAAGAGGTTAAGCAGCATGTCCTAGGCAATGTAGCTCATAAGTGTCAGGGCCAGGATTTGAACAGAAACCTCCTAACTCCACGTCCAACATGTTTTTGTAATAAAAGCAAAAAACAAAAACAAAAACAAAGCTGAAATGGTTTGTTGCTTCCTTTATCCAGTCAGTGAAGTTCATGGACCTTGGGCTGAGGAAGGTGAATTCAGGTAAAAGGGATACAGACCTTTGTCCCTTGCCACTTCTTCTACTTCGATGTCCCTCATCTCAGCCATGTAGCCCAGGACAGTGAAGATGACAAACCCGGAGAGGAAGCTGGTCAAGCAGTTCACCATGCTGGTGATAAGCGCATCCCTGCAAGTCAGAAAACCTGAGTGTGGTTTGGAGAGTGCGGGGGATGGCTAGAATGTCAGCCTTCAAGTGCTATAAGCTTTAAGACCACAGGGGAAGACATAGAAAGGCAGATGGAAGTGATGTGCTCTCTCTTGGTCATCTCATCAGCCCCCAGTGGTTCAATGATCATCTCCCTGCAGATGAATTCTTTGCAGATTTCTCCTGATCGGCAGCTGCCAGTGGAGCATCTCCATTGGGATGCCAGGTTGTCATCTCATACTCATTGAGTGCATTGAGTTTTCCTCTAAACCTGCCCTTCATTCAACCTTGTCTATTTATGTCAAGGGCACCATCATTCTCATAGTCACCAGAATTTTCAACCCAGAGTCATTCCCTGCCCTCAAGTCCATGCTGCCTCCATAACATCTCTTTCATATGTGTGTCCTCTCCTTTTTACTCACGTGGTCGCAATAACCTTAGTTAAGCCCTTATCACCTTCTGCCTGGACTATTGCAATAACCTACTTGGTTTGCCTGTTGCTTTCCCCCATTCTTTCCACTCACACAGATGCCACCTTGATGGTCAGTTTACACCTTGACCATCACATTAGCTTGCTGATTGGTCTTTCTGCCTCAAGTCTCTCCCTGCTCCAATCCATCCTGCACCAAGCTACCAAAGTCATTTTCCTAAAGTGCAGATCAGATCACATCATCTTGCTGTTCAATGAACTCCAGTGACTCTCTATTACCTACAGGATCAAATGTAAAATTCTCTGCTGGACATTGTAATCGCTGGCCTCTTTCTACCTCTCCATTCTTCTTATACCTCAATAATCTAGCTATGCTGGCCAACTTCACAGATGACATTCCTCACACACAACAGTCCCTCTCTGACATTAAAGCTCTCTCCTATGCCTAGAATGAGCTACCTCTTTACCTCTGCTGCCTGGATTCACTGCATTCCCCCAAGACTGAGCTCAAACTCCACCGACTTTAGGAATTCTTTCCTGATTTTCCCCCTTCTGATCCTCCAAAGTGCCTCCCCTCTGACATTACTTTCTATACACACTAGATTTTTCTTGTATGCACATAGTTATTTGCATGTTGTCTTCTCCATCAGACTTGAATTTCTTGAGGCCAGGTACCATGTTTTTCTTTCTTTGTATTATCAGCATTTAGTACAGCGTCTGGCATGTACTTAATGAGTGGTTATTGATTGATTGCCTTTCACATACTTATTTGTGTGATGATGGAGGTTGATTTAGTACTTTAAGGTTTACAAAGTATCTTTTTGTTTTCCTAGCACAGTACCTGGCACATAATAGATGCTTAATAAATTCTTGCTTGACTTGACTTTATGTACATTTTATCATTTGATCCTTACAACAACTCTGTGATGTTGGTGCCATTATTATCCTCATTTTACAGATGAGGAAGATATATTTATATACAAATATATGTATATATATACACACACATGTATATATACATATGTATATATAAAACATATACACATATATGTAATATATTTTGTATTTACTTATCTGTGTGTATGCTGTTTCCTCCCAATAAAATGTAATCTGGAAGGCAAGAACATTTTCATTTTTGTTTTTACATCCTCAATACCTAGAACAGTGTCTGACTTTTTGAAATGAATGAATGAATGAGAGATGGAAGTGACTTACCCACAGTCACACGGATAGTATGAATCTGAGGTAGGATTTAGACTTAGGTTTTCCTGACTCCAAATCCAGCACTTGAAGAGCATTTTGACCTCACCACCACCCTCAGTCCCTGGCCCTCCTCTTCCTCCTAACCTTGTACAAATTCAGCTACATTGGCCTTACTTTGCGTCCTCACCTGAAGCAGTTGTTATTAATCTGGTTGTAACTGGACAGAGCAAGCAGGACTCCAAATCCAAGACCCAGAGAAAAAAAGATCTGAGCTGCAGCATCGACCCAGACCTGGTAAGACAAGTGGAATGTAATGGGGGTTAGGATGGAGGAAGGGTGGGAAGGAGAATCAGCATTTGGAGAGCTCCCTCCCTCCAGAGAAGACTCAGAATTGTCAATTCATCCCCCTGGCCACTATCACTGAGGTTTTTGCGTTCTTGTGTCTGTGCTCAGTTGAGGGCAGGTTCATTTTAACAAATTCACCATTTAATCCAATAGAAAATAAGCTCACTGGGGCCAGAGGCCTTTTAAAAAGTATCTTTGTAGCCCCAGTCCCTAGCATGGTGTCTGGCATATAGCGAGTATTTCATAATTGCTTGTTGAATCGATTTAAATTGGAGATTATGTCTTCCAGTAGAATGTAAAACCCTTTGAGAGTAAGGATGGTTTCATTTTAATTTTCATATTACCTGTGCCTAGGACAATCCTTTGCACATAATTGATGCTTAATCATTGCTGAATTGGAGAGAATTCAATAGAACTACAAAATTTCAGAGTTGGAAAGGACATCAAGGACCACCCAGCCTGCACCTGAACAAGAATACTCTATCCAACATGCCTGACAAGTGATCTACCAGCCTGTTATTGAAGCCTTTCATGAGAAGGACCCCATCCCACCTATCAGTAGCTCATTTCACCTTAGGACTTTTCTGTTAGGAAGTTTCTGCTGACATCGAGCTTAAATCTGCCTCTCTGGGCCTGGGACTGTCCTTTGGGGCCAAACATAACAAGTGTAATCCCTCTTCCACAGGACTGCCTTCCAAACACATGAAGGCAGCTTAAAGCTCCCCTCAAAATGAGACATTATCATCAGGTCATGAGGTAAATATGTCCTGTTCATTCAGGTCTTGAAAGGCCTCTGCCTAAGGATACTTAGGTAGTAAGTGGCAGAGACAGGATTCAAATCCATGTCTTGTGACTCCTGATCCTGGGCCTTTTTCTTTCTAGCAAAGTTGCCATCTTGCCTAGACCACCTGGCTAGTTAGGAACTGAAGCAATACCTGGAATCAGGTCTCTCTATTATTATTTTTGTGTTCCTTTCCACTGTACCCCATTACTACTGCTAAGTGGGGAGGTATAAAGGGGGGCCCTCACTTTTTGTGGTTGGCATTTTTGGGGGGATAGCCCCCTTCTCCAAATGGATGCCAGCCCCTGCTCTGAAGGGCTTCACAAAAGATCTCAGAGTGGGAGGGGACCTTAGAGGTCATCAGGAGAATGTAAGCTCCTTGAGGGGAGGGGCTATTTGGCTTCTGCTTTTGTAATACTTAATAAATACCCATCAATTGATTGATTTGTGTTATATGCCTGGGCCAGGAGCTTCTATTGGACTAGAAGTTGTTACTCACTGGAATTGTTTCATTTCTTTGTCTTTATATATTCGGTGCCAGGCATGTTGTAGATACTTAATAAAAAATGCTTGTTGATTATTCAGAAGAGCAATAAAATGCTTTTGGAATTGAATTGAACTGAATTGATCCCGACTAGTGTCAAGAATCTCCAAGACAAACATTCAACCTGAAGAACTCTAGTGAACCTACTATGATAATAATAATAACAACACTTAGTGAGTGTTTTAAAGTTTTCAAAGTTCTTTACACATATGATCTCATATGATCTACATATGTTATCACATTCTACTTTTGAGAAGCTTTAATAAATAAGGTATACACACACATATATTATTCATTCATACAGACACACACATATAGAAATATAATGTATGTGTGTATGTTATAGCAGACAGACATTTCCTACAACTGTTACCCTTGCTTCCTCTGGGGCCAAGCAGGACAAATCTAATCTCTCTTTCCCATTATAGCTTTCTAGCTACTTGACACCTTTCATGTCCCCTTCTGGGTGGCCCAGTAGATAAGCACTGAGACTTGCAATTAGGAAAACCTGATTTCAAATCTCAGTCTCTGACACTGACCGACCTGTGACCCTGAGCAAGTTGCCTAATTTTCATTTGTCCTGGTTTTCTCAACTGTAAAATGGGGATCATAATAGCACCTACTTTTTAGGATTTTTGTGAGGGTCAAAAGAAATAATATGTGTAAAAGGCCTGGCACAGTACATGACTCATGGTATGTGCTTTGTTAATGTTCTTTATCTCCCTTTCTCTTCTCTAGGTTAAACATTCCCAGTTCCTTCCACCAGACCTTCTATGGTATGGTCTTGAGACCACTTACCATCCTGGTTATGTTCCCTGGATACATTCCCTCATTTTACAGAGAAGGAAGCCAAGGCCCAGAGAGAGGAAATGTTACCTAGTGGTTAAAGACAGAACCAAGTTTTGAACCCAGGTCTCCTGACTCCCCATGATCTTCTCATTGCACCCCAACCTTTAAGGTCTCTTCCAGCTCTAAGGTTTATCCTAGGAACTCACATCCCAGCAGGGATAGCCATACTTGGCATTCTTCAATATGTTCTGTGACCTCAATGGCGTGGATATTCTATCCATTGCCCATCCAAGTCTTTTCTTCTGAAGATTCTCACCTAAGTCATTCCACAAATCTCCCATATAGGTGCCATCTACTCAATCAATGCCCTAGAAGTCTTCCTTTGATATTTTCCATATTTTGTGGATACCATCCATTCTAGATTTTCTCAGCAGTGTTAATGTTTTCCTCCAGCTTCTTAAATTTCACTTCCTTTGCTTCCTCAGCATCTTTCTCCTCTTGATCCCCACTTCTCTTGCTCCATCCTCTAAAAAGCCACTCACGTATTCCATCCAGGCATTTTGGTAGGTATAAAGAGGGGAGGCAGATCAGAGCTGAGAGTCCTAGGGCTTGGGCCTCTTTCTTCTGGGGCCTGGATACAAAGAGATCCTCAGGTTGTTGAAAGACTTGAGGAGGGGCACACATGGTAAAGTGCATTATTTGTGATGTCTGCTATTGAAGGTTTTAATTAGAACTTATATCTGGCTGATTACTTTGAACAAAAATTCTCTAATGCAGTCCTACTGTAATTACAGGCAGGAAGTCCATTGTCAATGGGCTTCACAGAAAAGGGGCAGGACCCCTTGGCATACATAGAACCAAGCCTGATAAATGAGATGTGTAATTCAGTTTTCCATTTGCATTTCTAAGGGCCAGGATTGTAAGCATGTTCTTTTTTTTCTGAGGGAATAATGAGTTCATTACTTGGGGCCCTCTGATCTTCTCAGGAAAAAACCCTGTAAGTCAAAGCTGCATGTTAGAGCAGGTGACAGCTGGCAGAGGAGCAGACTTAGGAGAGCAAATATCAGAGGAGGGAAAGAGATCCCAGGGGAGCCTTCAGAGACTGTCAGGATAGCACCAAGGATCACTGAATAAAATAAAGTTTTAAAATAAAAATAAAATTTAAAAAAAATTCCCTTAATTAAAGGATTTGTTCTGTGAAGTTTGGATTCAGTCAAAGGGCCACACTTGAGGACCTAGAAGGCCACTTGTGGTCCCAAGGCTGCAGGTTCCCAACCCCTGCAGGCTAGTGAACTTGAGGACTGGGATACAAAGACAAAAACCAAAACAGTCCCTGCCTTCAGGCAGCTTACATTCTACTTGGAGGAAACAACAGCTTCACTGAGAAATATATACAAGATAGATACAAAATAAATAACTGTCTTCTGAAACCTGAAGGATTGTCACTGTGGAAAACAGATTAGACTCATTCTGTTTGGCCCGAGAGAACAGAATCTGGAGACAGACTTTAGCTAGATGTCCCGGACATCTTTCTAACAATGAGAGCTATCTCAAAGGGGAGTAGATTGCCTAGGGGAGGTGAGGGGCTCAACCCTCCTGGGAGGGCTGTAAGCACAAGTTGGACAGCCATTTTATGGGTATGTTGGGGAGGGGATTCCTTTTATTTCAGAGTTGACTATGTGGTTGCTGAAGGCCCTTCCTACTCTTCAATTCAGTGATTCTGTGAAATATAGTTATTTGGGGATAGTGAGCAATGGGGAGGGGGATCAGAAAAAAGTCTCCCTATTCACTTTCCTTCCAGTTATTTGCTAATACATAAAATGCTGCTGTAAATATTTTGATCTACATGGGACCTCAATGGTCTGGTCTTTGGCCTCTTTGGTGGCATATGCCTAGTAGTGGTATTGCTGGGTCAAAGGGTAGGGGGAGTTTGGTGAATCCATGTCCTGAGAGGACCTCCTAAAGTCATCAGCACTGGCTAAACTAGCCTTCCTGGTTCAGATTCCACCAGGAAAGGGGGCAATAGAATGCTGATTATTACAATTGTTTATTAGCCTTCTGAGGGGAGTTATGGGGATGGAATGACTTTTCAGTGACTCAGAGGGGTACACACACTCACACACATACACCAGTGATTGTAGAAGGGGTGGGAAAGAGAGAGTGGCACATTCTTGCCAAACACATCAGCATCCCACAGTCTCCTGGTGCAGAGCTGCACTGTGCTATTAGAGTCTCGGTGTTTTATTCTGTCTTGGGGCTTATCAGGAGAGGGCAGCCCCAGAACTTGGTTTTATTACTCTCAATGCCCTAAATCCCAGCACGGGGCTGTGGACCCAGAAAAAGTTTGAAGAATCCAGAAAAAGACTTGTTGGCTTACTGATGTGCTCAGCAGTTTCTCCCAGTTGGGCTGGAGGTAGAAGACGATGCCTCTCCAGGCTCCAGGTAAGGTGACTCCTCGGATCAGGAGGATGAAGAGTACCAGGTAGGGGAAAGTGGCAGTGAGCCACACCACCTAGGAAGGGAAGGATAAAGGCAGGAAGCTGGGAGTGGACCAATATACACAGTGGCAGTAGAACTGGGAAATATGGCGGAGCATGTCATAGGAAGGGAGCTTTGCCCTCCTAGTGGGCTCAGGGCCAACCTTACACAAAGTCAGAAAAGATGCTGTCAGAGACTGACCCAAAAGATACTTTTCCCCACCTCAGACAATGCCTAAAACTCCTTCTGTGAGATAAATCCTTTCTGTGAGATAAATCCAATGTAAGGATTGAAATGTAAATATTCCAAGAGAGAGTGTACATTTCCACCCAAAGAATCTAAGAATCAGTTGGAAAGGACCTCAGAGGCCTCTCTGGTTCAACCCCTTAATTTTACAAGTAAGGAAACTGAGGCTCAGAGAGATTAGGGGACTTGTCTAAGGTAACAAAGTTAATACATTTCGGAGGTGAGATTTTTGAAAATAAACGTTTACATGGCACCTACTATGGGCCAGACAGTGTGCTAAGCACTGAACAAATGTCTCATTTGATTCTCATAACAACCCTAGGAAATAGATGTTATTATCATTGTCATTTTACAGTTGAGGAAATTGAGGTAGACAGAGGGTCACACAGTTAATGAGTGTACAAGACTAAGTGCAGCTAAGTGGTACAGTGCCAGGCCCAGTGTCAGAAAGACCTGAGTTCAAATCTGGCCTCAGATACTTACTAGCTGTATGACCTTGGGCAAGTCACTTAACCCTGTTTCCCTCAGGTTCCTTAACTGTAAAGTGAGCTGGAGAAGAAATGGCAAGCCACTCCAGTATCTTTGCCAAGAAAACCTCAAATGGAGTCATGTGGAGTTGGACATAACTGAAATGACTAAACAACAACTTCTTGAAGCCAGGCCAAGTGCTCTAAACACTTAACCACCCAGCTGCCCTGCACCCAGGTCTTCCTGAGTCCTAATTCAGGTCCAGGACTATCTGCTATGCTATGCTGTCCTGCAGTTGTGATTTTTCTAGGGTCACACAACTAGGATGTGTCAGAGACCTGGTCATCCTGACTATCTACCACATCACACAGCCTCTAATTCTATAATCATCCCAATAATACCCTTCACTTACCTTAGAGGCCCCAGTGGAATAATGTAGTTTTTAAATGCTCTATAAATACCTGTTATTCTTGTCCCATTCTTATTTTTCATTCTCCTATATAGAGATTTTTTGTTGGGGGGGGGTTAGAAAGCAAGCCTGGGAGGAGCCTGATCAGGGTGCTAGGGGTCTCAGCTACCTTCCCCGAAGTCTTCACTCCTTTCCACAGGCTGAAGTAGACAGTTGTGAAGATGAGGAAGAGGCATAGCAGAAGCGGCCAACGGATGCCTCCTGGATCCTGCAGGCCGCCTGACTTCTCAATCTCCAGGACTCTCCGCCTAATGGGGAATCACACTGGACCTCAAGAATACAGGGACTTGGAGTGCCTCTGCCCCTCCCCCCCC